TTGGGGGCAATGTAAATATATATATATATACATTGCTTACTGGTGTACACTGCTTAGAGAGTGCTTGCACTTAAAGCGGTATATAAGTCTCATAAATAAATAAATAAAATAAATAAATGTAATCAATAAAAATTCAGATTAACTTAAATTACTCCTCTTGGCAAACTATGAAACAAAATATAGTGCAAACTGAGCTAAATACCTGCCACTATGCCACTCTATGTAAACCATGGATAAAACAACAGCCACAAAGCTACCAGATCTGATTTGCCACAATCCAGATAACCATCAGAGGATTACAAATGCAAGAAAAAAAATATTTTCTGCTATTTAGTAGTCATCTTGTTTTTTTTAACAGTCCATATCCAGTAATCCTATTGAAAAGCATTACATGTAAATCAAAGAGCAAATTGTAAAAAAAAAACTAAAATAAGCCAACTTTTCCTTCAATTGGCACTTCTTCTGAGTTCAGGTATCAAACTTGTTATCCTTATTTACACCTATTTTGCAGTTAACGCAAATTTATAGATTCACAGTTTGAGAGTGAATGCTTCAGACATTTTTATACTAATCTATATGTATAAATATTTGTATTGTTATACATATATAATACAAACGTACAATAATATATACTTTTATCCTTTAATATCTTAGTTTTGGTTATTTTAGGGTAGTGGTACTTACCCCATCATGACAACCAAGTTCTATAATTTTCTTTTCGTCTGGAAGGCAGCCTGAATAAGTATGTTTTTAGATTCTAGATACAGAAAAACAAAAATCAACAATACTCAGCTAATTTTCTTCATTGTATAGTCCTACGTAGTAACATTCAAATAGGCAAAACTATTGCTAAGGAGACATATAATGGATTGTAATCTTCAGAACAGAAAATAATCACAGCAATTGTCCCTTTGCAATAAGGATAAAAAGCAAAGTAAATGGCATATAATTTTTTCTGTCTCCTTGTAGATTTCATTTATTTCCTTTTGTTTATACTGTAACTAATTTAAAAAAGGAAAGTGAGCAAGAGTAAACTGCTCACTTAAACTGCTAAACACCTGCCCAAAAGTTGCAATCTTTTCTTTCCCACATTTAGATAAATTTGCAAGATGGCTATATTCCAGATTTTTTTAAAAAAAATAGAATGTCTGTTTAAATGGCTATTTATAATACAAATTTATATAACCGCCCAATCAGATATAGTGACTCTGGGTGGGATACAGCAAAAAACCAGAGTTTAATCCTCCTTCAATTGATGAATTAATAATCCTTAAATTGGCCCTACTTCCCATGTTTTTCCTTCAGTTATATTCCCTTTGAAAATACAGACAAATGCACTTATACCGGGTTTCCCCAAAATATATATATTGCCTCTAAAAGAGGCACCAGGTCTTATTTTCAGTGTCTTTTCCACTCACTTTGCAGCGGCAGCATCGACAGCCACGCCCAGCCAGCCCACTTCTTCTATGGCCGAAGGAGCACAGCTTCATTCTGCAGCTGAGAATGGAGTGCAGCCTGCATTTCACAAAGGCCTTTCCAGAAGGCTGTGCAGTCAAGAACCAAGCTACGGATTGAATCCATAGTTGGGTTCTCAGCTACACAGGCCTTCCAGGAAGGCCTCTGATTGCAAAATGCAGGCCTGAGCTCCATTCTCAGCTGCAGAATGAAGCTGCTCCTTCCAGCGAGGCAAGTGTCGATCCATGGGAAGCCTGGCTGCAACGGTAAGCTCCTATCGTAGTTTGATTTTTAGGCATGCGCCTCACTACAAAACTAGGGTTTATTTTTGGGATAGGGCTCATATTACACCCACTCCCAAAAATTAAGCTACGGCTTATTTTCGGGGAAACATGGTAGTTATATAATGTGTAAAATCAATCGAAGTAGAATGAACCCAAAATCCAAAAAGTTAAATTGTATTCCCTAGCCCTCTTACCATCTCATCTTTTTATTCTCAGTGAAAAGAAATAATAGTCTATATACCTAGAATACATAGAAGTGTTCTTAGTATATGTAAAAGAACAAACATGAACATAATAAAATCAGTATGAAACAAATAAATATGTACTCCAAAAGGCTCCATATTGCATTTACTGTACTCCCTTGGGGTGAATCCTACTAACTCAAAAAAGTTTATTTCTGCATAGACTCATAGATTTGCAGTGTACACCACAATTCTGTACTGTAGTCAACTGCCAGGTAACTGATCTTTCCTCTGTTTTTATGCTTTGAGAACTGACAAGCTACTTCATATGAATTATCAGAATAATCTACCATTATATTCTACTTACAAAAGATTGTTCAGATATATTACTTTCAAGCACTTTGAATATTCTAGAGCACCTCAACCTACAACCACAATTGAGCCCAACATTTATGTTGCTAAGTGAGAAATTTGTTAAGTGAGTTTTACCCCCTTTTACAACTTTTTTGCCATGTTTGTTAAGCGAACCACTGTAATTAAGTTAGTATGATTGTTAACTGAATCTGGCTTTCTCATTGACTTTGCTTGTCAGAAGTTTGCAAAAGATGATCACATGATCATCATAAGTATGAACCAGATGTCAAGCATCCGAAAGTAAATCACATGGCCATAGGGATGGTACAATGGTCATACATGTGAAAAATGGTCATTCATCATTTTTTTCAGTGCTACTGTAACTTTGAATGGTCAATAAATGAACTGTTATAAGTCAAGGACTACCTACTTTATACAGTAACCAAATATTACCTACCATTCTAAGAGACAACAACCCTCCAGCTCATCAACACAAGCCTGTATTATTTATCAGACTCAATACCTTAGATCATTGTTTGCTTTAATATTCACAGAACTGAACCTGGGATTTTCTCCAAGGAATCTTGAAAGGAGGTAGTAGGCTGAAGCAGCAAAGACAATATTACAGACCAGCTCCTTATCTATTTTTATTTATTTGTATCCTTCACTATTTTTACCAATAACTCAAGGCAGCAAGCACAACCAACAAATCTTCTTCCTCCTCTAACCACATATTGCCCCTTTTCCTTCCATTTGAGCCAAGAGAAGATCCTTATCATATTCTCACATTATACTGTAGCTTTATTATTGTAATTTGATTTTTTTTCTATAATCCTACATTGATGGTCATTTTCCATCTTGACAGGTTATAAAAAATCTGTCCAAAAATAAATCCTTAGAAAGGCCCTCAAGTCAGGCTCAGTTCCTGGCAACTGTATCCTTAACTGCTTTCTTGACTTTCTTGTACAGAAAACTTTATTTTTTAATTGCAAGCTCATTAACTGTGATTTTATGGTTATGTCAACCAGGATTTACAGAATTTACCCAATTGGCTGGGTTTGTTTTAAACAATGAACCATAAACTAACCATAGAAGTCATAAGACTAAGCAAGGTATAAGACTAAGCAAGGTAATTAGTTATTAAAGCCACAAGTATCATCTGAATTGGGACAAAACACTGATTAGTTATGACAGAAAATCTAAACCACATTTTGGGAGGTGGGTAATGATAAGCAACTTACCTCCAAAATAGCCTTCTCTTCTAGGTTTAGAGAGCTGGAAGCCTAGGGAACCTTTTGAAGCTCTCTTCTATTCTTCAGACATGAAGATGGGAGGCTAAGGTAGTTATGAAATGGAATTTCTCCAACCCCAATATTATAGAAACATAAAAGGGATGAAGGGAATCAAAGTCTTCCCCTACCCTACCTACCATCAGGCCAGAATAGAAATATTTTTAACTGCAAAAAAGTAGATTGACTGGAGTGTGGAATGTGTCTGGAAGGCCAGCCTAAGATGGCCCCTCTCAGTATAAGCAAAGCTGAAATTTGGTTGTAGTGCTCTTTAGTTTAGTTCAGTGCTCTATACCTGGGCACATGTTTATTCGTAAATAGTACCAAAATAACTTACAAATGGTAACCAACAATGGCCATTGATTTCTGGAATTGAGAATGATTGCTTTGAAGTTTCCTCAAAAAGTCATAGCTTCAGATTGGCTGAAAGTTTCAATAAATGACTAACAATTTTGTTGGATGTTTATGAATAAATCAATTAGAAATTTTATTTCAAGCTATAAGTGTAGGGGGGGGGAGATCCAGGCTTAACTAAAAATAGCATGTTATCTTAAACATACGTAGGACCTTAAACTTGCTCCGACTAGCAGTGATTTCCTTAAGTTGCGAGCAAATCTCTTTCCAACCTTGTCAACAGGCGTGTGTTTTTTTTCCCTCTCTCTGCCGTTGGATATGCTTATTCTCTCCCCTCCCCAAGAGCAAAGGACATGCTTTACTACTACGTTAAGGATTCGCCTTTTTAACTGGAGTCGGGTGATTTTTATTTTTTTTTCAAAATGAAGGGTTCCCCCAGACATGGATTTTGCTTCGATTCAGGAGGCGCATTCACTCGCATTTAACTTCATCTCCTCTTACGTAGCCTATTTGGGTTCAGACGCTGCTGAACCATAAAGGAACTGCACGGGCAGGATTAATTCAATGTATCAGACTAAAATGGGATTGATTTGCTTAGAGTTCAGGATGTCGTGCAAAAATACCCAAGAAGTGTTCTTTTGAGAAAGCATCTTAACCCCAGCTGTGGAGCCAGAAATCTTTCTTGAAAGAAGTTTTCCCTGTTGTAACACATATTCGACAAACCTGCGGAGTAAAAAAAAAATAATCCAATACCTGATATTCTTTCTCTTCCCGAGCAGAACTTGCAAGATCTTGTTTCCACTACAGCCATAGAGAAATTAAACGCAAACTCAGGGAACCTATAGGTCCCACCTCCAGGAGCCTCTGAATGGCCAAAATTCAGGCCACTCACACGCACCCTCTCTTTCCCCTCCCCCGCTGCCGTTTCGACCGTTGACCAGCCTCAGAATCTCTTTGGAACTCCACCCCTAGAAAGCTTGCCTCCCAGTTTAAGACTGGCGATTAGCTGCTGAACCTATCACTCACTTTTATCCCGCATGTTGATTGGCCAAGCGTGGAACGCAGGGCGGATAAGAGTGGGGGGGGGAGGGAAAAGAATCGCTGGTGTTTACTGGGCGTGAGGTGAAGAGCGAGGGGTTGTTGAGAGAGTAGGGGAGCTGCAGTTCTTCATCCGTACTTCACCCTCAACTTGGGTCCTGGAGTTTCCCACTTTCGGAAACCTCTGCCGCTATGGGACTGCGGAAGAAAAACAAGAGTCCGCCAGTCTTGAGCCATGAGTTCGTTATCCAGAACCACGCGGATGCTGTATCCTGCCTGGCCATGGGCCTCCTCTTGGGGCTCATGTTCGAGGTATCCTTACTATACAGGGCCGGGGAGGAAGCGGCAGCGCGCGGGCTCGGGCACGCCCCCTTTCCTCCCTCCCCCCCGTTCAAGTGCGGCCCCGCCCTTCTCTCGAGCTCTGGCGCTTCCTCTCCTGTTACTGTTTTCCCTTAGGCTGCTAATTCTCACGGTCGCGCTCCCCTCTTACATGCTGACGTACATAAGGAGCGGGCGTATCCTGTGCGATGCTTGTTGGCAAGGCCGATCCTCAACTTCTAAGGCTAAGCTATAGCCGCTAGGCATCCTGCCTGGGTTCTCTTCTCCGCCGCCAAAGAGCAGGGGAATTAAACTGGCAGTCTCACTGAGAAGATAATTTGTGCAAGCCAGCCAAGCCGCTTTCAAAGGCTGAAGGGAAGAGGGAAATAATGTATAATTGACCAATTTGCGATACCTGTAGAAAAATAGTTAAGTCTTTCGTTATTCCATAGAGAAGGAAATGGGTCTCGTTTAATATCGTACTAAATCATATGAAATGGGACGTACAGTGGTCTTTTCCCATTTTTGTCCTCTTGTTTCCCTTTAGAACTGGTGACGGTGTTAGGACTCGGTCCTAGTACTAATTTTCAGCCCTGGAGTACAATCCTGGGTTTCATATAAAAATGAAGTGTTCTTGGAAGATGAAGAATGATTTCCCAAAACGGGTGGGTGGCTGGTTTAGGAAGAGTTTATAGATTGTAAGTTAAATATCGTAAACAGTCTAGACCAGGGGTAGGCAACCTCGGCTCTTTTATGACTCATGGACTTCAACTCCCAGAATTTCTGAGTCAGCTGACTCGAGAATTCTGGGAGTTGAAGTCCATGAGTCATAAAGAGCCGAGGTTGCCTACCCCTGGTCTAGACTCTAGAGTGTGATATTGCTCCTACTGGGCTTGTGTGATTATGCTTGGGATTTGGTCCTTATGAATAAGCAGTAGCATTAGGCATACTGCTGATCTTAATTGGTTTGATAGCTACTAATAGTAGATAATTCCACTGGAGAGCTTGGCGTTTGGTGAGTTTGACCATATTTATTTGGAACAAGATAAATCTCTTACAGACCCAATGGTGTATAGGAGAGTTAATGCTGAATTAAGAATTAAGTGGACTATTTTTTGCTTACACATTTTATTGGCAGAGACTAATCTTGACATACAAGGTACTTATCCAATTGCATCCCCTATGACAATCACAGTCTCATGTCTTGCTGATAAGCTTATAAACAGCCAAGTCTCAGGGGTGTCTAAATTTACATAATGATATTCACTCCCTGAGTCACCAAGCCACAGAATGGAACTGGAAGTTTAATACCCGAATATTAAATATGGACTGACTGCCACAAGTATACATTTGTTTCTTTAAATAAAAAGCTGTTATAAGTGATTAATTAAAAATGAAGCCTTGAACAATGTTAGGATTTATAGAAAACAGGAAGATAAATATATAATAAATTTGGTTTATATATAGGAAACCATGTCTTTTTAAAGCTTTCCCTGAATTGTGTTTCCCCTTTCCTCCACTATTAATTTGAAACTTATTGTATGGTTTTTAAGTTGTTTTGTCATGTTGATATTCTTCTTCAAATGCAAACTGGGCCATATCTGAACTAAAGTAAAATTGGTGCTAAGAAATCCAGAGATCAGTCTGTTGAAGGAATTAAGCTTAGTTTGGGAAGAACTGAAATAATGATATAATTGGAGAACCTAATAAAATATTTGAAGAATTATCAGTCCTTTTGGATGCTGCCTGTTGGCTACTACATAGAAGATAGAGCAAGATTCTGACAAAAAGAAAAGGATTTTGATGCACTTTAGAATTTCCTGACCCAGGTTCTTCAGCAGTGGAACAGGTGGCCTTGGCTTGCTAGTAGAATCTCTTTTGTTGGATATTTATAAGCAGAAACTAAAAACAGTCTTTCCTAATCCAGACATAGTTAATTGTATGAACTTCCCAGAATTCTCAGCAATGGCTGTGTTGACTGAGGAATTCAGAGAATTAAACTTTATGCATTTATGTTAGGAAACACTAAGGTATAAATTCCTACATTTGACAAGAGGCTGATGTAGATAAATGGTTCTTAAAACGTTTTAGTTTCAGGACCTCTTTATGTTTTTAAAAGTGATTTGAGGACCCAAAGAGCTTTGGCATTGTGCATTATATCTATTCATATTTAAACTACTAGGAATTAAGAGTGAGTCATTTTAAAATATGTATCTGAAGATCTACAGAAATCTCCAGACCACATTTTGAGAACCTGATCCAGATGAATCCAGTTCTGTGTTACTCCAAAAAATTGTTTTTGAGAGGGAACTCAAGTTGGCATAATGGGATATATCTTCTACTTTGTCCCCACAGTAATAAATACGGTAAATTTGAATAAGAGAATGATTGACCCAAAGTTATTTTGTGATCATCTAATATCTTAACCAGTAGACTGTATTGGTTTCAGTTATCATAAAATTACTTCTCAAAATAGAACTTGGTACATACAAGTAGTCCTAAATTTATGACCAGAATTAGGCCCAATATTTCTGTGAGACATTTGTTAAGTGAATTTTGCATCATTTTACAACTTTTCTTGCCACATTTGTTAAGTGAATCATTGCAAGTGTTAATACCGTGTTTGTTAAGTGAATCTGGCTTCCTAATTGACTTTGCTTATCAAAAGGTCGCAAAAGGGGATCACGATCCTAGGACAATACAACCATCATAAATGTGGATCAGTTGCAAAGTGTCTGAATTTTGATCCCATGACTGTTGGGATGCTGCAATTGTCATAAGTTTGAAAAATGGTCATAAGTCTTTTTTCAGTGCCGTTTAACTTTGAATAGTCACTAAATGAACTGTTGTAAGTTGAGGATTACCTGTGTATCAGTTGATACTACCTTTGATGCTCATTGATCACCTTGGCCCTTTCAACTTTTTGATTTATTTTCAGAAATTATTTTAATTAAAAGAATAATTGGCATGTCACAAAGACTGGTTGAAACTTTATTGCCACTAATGCTTCTGGGCCATTTATTTAAAAATATCACTGAAGGAGCTATAGCTCAAAGCATTATATGAAGCTGTGCAGAAAAACAATGTGAACAATAGTAACAAAAAGCATTTAGGTAGAAGGGATTGCAAATAGCTGTCTTAATCGGTTCTTTTTCCCATTACTACCATTTGAGAATGAGAAAATCTTTTTATTTTTTATTTTTTAATTTTACTCATTTGTAAAATTATAGATGTATGATCATCCATCTTAGAACCGGAACTCTGGATGGCTCACAACCATTGCATTTTTATGTACTCTAAATTATATTTATACACACTATGTATTCTTTCAGTTCTTTTTCCTCTCTTATTAGCCAATAGTATTGTGTTACATGATTGATTGCATGTACATATATGCATATCAAATGTTATTCTGAAAAGAAATAAGATACCAATGAATTAATTGGATATAAGACTCCAAGATGAAACAGTTGAGATTAAGGATAGGTGACTTCCAGATAATTCAACAAATGACTTAAATATTTATCAGTAATTCCAGATCAGAATGTATGTGAAGCTCAGAAGAGGAGTTGAAAGTTAGTGGGTGCAACGGGGTAGATAGTGGCAGAGTGCAGGCCAGCAAAAAGGCAGAGATGGGGGGGGCAGTATTGCAACGGCTATAATTTCAAGGATCCACTGTAATTACCGTTTTGTTCAGCACTGTAGTAACTTTGGTCACTGAACAAATGCACAGCCATCAAACCAAGGGCACTTTGAAACAGAGGGCCTTCAGTATGGTGTTTAGGTTGACATAGAGACACTTGCTAACATCAAATCCTTAAAATGATTGGCCTAGAATAAAAGTCTTTCCGACTAGACAAATACCCAACAGTAGTCCTGACACAGGGCCAAAGAACAACCTCAACCAGAGAGATTTGAGTTCCTGAATTCTATTGTAAATCACAGGCAATTCCATTAAATGCATTAAAATATCACATATACTGTATTTGATTGCCAGCTATATACCTCAGCCAAAGGGCAGCATTTAGAGCAGCGGTTCTCAACTGTGGGTCGGGACCCCATTTGGGGTCGAACGACCATTTCACGGGGGTCGCCAAACAACGTAGTCCGCCATTTTTTTCCCCCTTTTCCTTAGCTGTGCTACTCCCTTTTATTCTATTGGCTTTTGAAAGCCAATAGAATAGACTCTCTTGAATAGAGTCTAATTCTATTGGCTTTGAAAAGCCAATAGGAATTGTCCAGGCTGTTTCTGCCCTGCTGAGCCCACCAAAAGTCCCATTCTGCAAACAGTGCTGCACCAGTTCAGTAGTCCTCGACTTATGACCGGTTGGGGGTCGCGGCATTAAAAAGGTTGAGAACCACTGATTTAGAGCCACTAATCAACAGGACAGCTCACTGGACCCCATCAATAGGCTGCCTTACTTCTTTCAAGATACACATGGTGGGCAGTAAAAAAGACTGACAGGTTTATAGCTGAAGTCATTCATCAGTGAACTTCTTAATTAGATCATTTTGAAGTTAATTGTCAAGGTGATGATCTTATTTGAATATTTTACTGAACAGCTTTTCTGTGTCCTGATATGTTTTATTTGTGTATCCTGATATGTTGTATTTATTTTACATTGTATTTTTATATAAGTACTATATTGTGATCCAGTATGATTGCTTGATTAATCAATAAACAAGGAAAAATATGCAACAATTTGTATTATTAGTCTTGATAACTAAACTTTCAAAACCTATGTCTCAAATTTGATCCTTTAGTAGTCAATAAGATCATCTCCAGTCTTGTTCAGTTCTTAAATTGGCTGTTTTGTTAGGCTGTAGAAATGCCATCACTGCTGGGAGGAATTTTACAACAATGAAACTTAAATAGTTGCAGCAATCATAATAAATATAAATTTTAATAGCAACTTCAGAAAAAAGTGTATAGCAAAGAGATTAATAACTTATTTTTCTCTGTTTTAAATTTTAGGTTACATCCAAATATGCCATCATGTTTATAACTGTACAATACAATGTTACATACAACATAGGTAAATATAAAATCTTTTCTATGTCTGGTTTTCATTTTTAAAAATATTTTTCAGTAATGTCTTCTACATATTTACTTAGATTATTCACCTCCAAATGTATATATGTGCATGTGTAGGTGTGCTAGATTATATGTAGGGTTGCGGTCTTAAATGATTTTGCCTAAATGCTACTGTATAGCCTGATTCTCTGCATTTTTATTACAAAATTCTGTTATGCTGTTTTTCTCCGAATAATGAATATGTTATAAAAACATATTAAAGGATGTACAACATGAATTTATAGATTTTAAATCAGAATTTATTGCAAAAATGTAAGGGGAAAACACTGTTGAAAATTTGTTTTCTGCATGTTCTCCTGATGTATAATAAGATTCTAAGTATAGCCTGTACTGCTATTAATAGTAAGATATTGTGCATTTCAGATGATGGATCTGACCCAGTTCATTTCTATGAGTATGGTCCAAAAGACATGGCCACCATCTTCTTCTACATGCTTATAGCCATTATTTTGCATGCAGTGATTCAGGAATATATACTAGATGTAAGTTTACAATTATTAGATAAATGTGAATATGTGAAATCAATTCAGTTCCAATTTCTTCAAGATGCATTTATTAAATAATATGCTTTACTATTGGATTTGAAAGATATAAGATCCCATTTGGTATAGTAGTTAAAGTACTGGACTGAAAATCAAGATATCAGAAGATCTAGTCCTCTCTTAGGCATGAAAGCTGATTGAGTAACTTTGGGCCAATCCCTTAGCTTCAGTTCAACCCAGCACAAAGGGTAATGATTGTGGGAAAAAATAGAAATGTGAGCATGTAATAGTGCCTTGAATTCTGAAAAATATGTAAATTTAATAATTTATATTTATATATGTTTAATAATATCTAATAAACATCTCCCAGATTTTTTCATTATCAACCATGTATCTACATTACAGAAGGGTATTTCTTTAGAATCAATAGTCTACCTGCAGATCATGAATAAATTGCCCTGGATTGCATTTTTTCCTAAAAGTAAATGGGCTGGTGTGAATTTTGAAAGCATGTTATGCAAATTTTCACAAAGTGGCACTCAAAATTTACCAGAAAGCAAAAAAAGTAAAGGTGTTGCCCTTTATATTTACTTATCAAGAATATTGCCTGCCATTATTATTTCAGCTTTCGCTTTTTGGAACAGATAGACATACTTTCCTCTTTTATTTTCTGATAGTGGCTAAGAGACCTACATGATCTTGATTCCCTACTTTAAATCCTACTAGCTTCCTTTTTTTTTTAAATAGAACCTAAAATGTTTAAAAAGTAAGAAAAGACAAGAACCAAGAGGTGTGCCTTTGGACATAATTAAGTATATCTGTTATGGCCACGTGAGTTATGATATTTGTTATCTGATATTTGACCAGTTTTTGACTCTATAGCATTGAATATCATGGCTTTATAATTAGTCAAATATTTCACATACCCCATGTCAGTTTATATTCTGGATAGTAATTCAGAATTTGAACCTTTCCCAAATTTTGGACCAGAACTTAATATGTGGTTCTCTGAAAATTGGCATGTGGGCAAGATGGGCAGCTTTCAGCATGTTGAATCCCTAATCAAATTATACTGGATTATGAATATGATTTCTATGGTAACTTCACTAAAAATTATATACCACACTATGAATTTCTTTTGAAATAAATAAAAATTATATCCATCAATGAATGGATTCCTTATTTCTTCAGTAATTCAATATTCAAGTTTAACTAGGCAATCTGCTGATAAAGGTAATTTCATTATTTCTTTATTATATATTATGTTAAAATCTTACACTCTGCTTTTTTTTCTTTTTCTTTTTTTGTTGCTGTTTTTATTTTAAGTATAAAAAGTGTGAGTCCTATAAATGTTAAAGTATTAAATAAAAATTGAATTCTGCCATGTTATTAAAACATGGCATGTTATTAAAACATGGCATGATTGAAAATCAGCCATTGTCCAAATATGAAAAATCTTCAAGCAATGAGTCTAATGTAGAAGTTTGGACATGGTTCATATCTTTCTATACTAGGATAAAACTACAGTGCTTGTTCTGTGACTCTGCATTGCAATGTGCAATCAGAAACTTAGTCATAAATAAACCACTGCAAGACTCCTTGAAAACTTCACTTCCTGTTTTGTCTTCCTATCCTCTATTCTAGAATGAAAACAACAGCTGCCTTATATTTTGTATTGGTCAATAGATTTGGTTTAGAGATATATATCTCAGTTTATGGTATGCAAAGATATAGTAGTTGTGCATTCCAAACTTGCACTACCCTCTCTTCCCCTTTCTTTGCCACATCCTAGCTGAAAATGTTCGGGAGTAGAAAATATGCTTATCAGAACACACAAACTAAGACTAAAACCAATTTCAGATTGTGTTTCAGAGCCTAGTGTGTTCCAGCATGCAAACTGTGAACCACTAAGAAAGATAATGTGAAAGCATAGTATAGAGCAGTGGTGGCGAACCTATGGCACGCGTGCCAGAGGCGGCACTCAGAGCCGTCTCTGGGCACGCGTGCTGCCGCCAGCAGTTCACACAGGTCCATTAGGCCGTCGCTGCTGCCCAGAACGGTGGCCCCATCCAGCACAAAGGAGGCGAAGCAGCCGGCTAGCAAGCTTGAGAAGAAGTGGGAGAGCATGCCCACGCCCAGCAAGCAAAGGGCCACCCTGAACAGAGAAAGCCGGATCCCCATTGGCATTGTGGCTGCCCAGGCCCAGCACAGATGGGGGGAAGCATGCAATCCAGCTGGGACTGGGGGGCCATGGCGCCGATGGGGATCCGGCTTTCCCCGCTCAGGGTGGCCTTTGGCTTGCTTGGTGTGGGTGTTCTCTACCATCTCTACTTGAGCTTGCTAGCTGGCCACTTCACCTCCTTTGTGCTGGGCGGGGCTGCCGCTCCAGGCAGCAGAGGTGGCATAATGGACCTGCATGAGCTGCTGGTGGCAGTGGACTGAGGTGGGGCCAAGGTGCGTCGGCTAGACGAGAAGAACAGGCTCCATGCACGGGCCAAGGGCGAGATCTGCAAGGGGGCCGAAGAGATGACCAGCAGCAACCTGCTCTCCAACCATAAGCAAAAACAAATGGGACTGAGTAGGCTTGTCTGGCGGTCTGCATCACATTCCTCCCCCTCCCCTACTCCACCTGCTGCTGGCACCTGGCCTAGTATTGGCAGTGGGCTGCGGAGCCCCAGAGTGCGCCGATCGAGGGGCCGGTAGGCTGTGGCTGCTGATGGACACCATCGACCCTCATGCGCTTGCTGGCCTCTGTGTGCGGAGGCCAATGGTGTCTGGCAGCAGCCTCCCTGCCTCACCTTGCCTTGCCCTGCCCTGCAGCAATGGCACCCCTACCCTGCCCCACCTCACCCCCTGCCCACCACTCCACCTGCCAGAGACCCCTTGGATCTCCCCCAACCCTGCCTGGCCCCCACAGGCCTCCACCCCATGAGCAACATCGAAGTGACCATGCCCACCCCAGCCACACCCACCCAGTCATGCCCACCCATCCCCCCTGAGGGCACCACAATGCTGATGCAGCCCTGGCACTTTGCGACAAATAAGTGGGTTTTGGATTGCGGTTTGGGCACTCGGTCTCTAAAAGGTTCACCATCGTTGGTATAGAGCACAGGTGTCAAACTTGCCTTCATGTGACATGTCGCAACATATCGTGACTTTTTTTGCATTGCCGGAGCTGGGGTGGGTGCAGCCGGCAGTTTCACACCCCTGGTATATAGATACAAAACCAATGTCTCAATTGAGATCCAAGACAAATTCATTTGGGGCATTGTATATAGTCTTGGGTTATAGATTGGATTGTGAAACTCAAACGCCTGTGTGGCACAAAGAGTGGTAATTTACTTTATACGTAGTTTGTTTTTCTAATACTTAAACAGCAGTTATTAGACTATGTGGGTCATGCTTTAATATTCAGTTGTCTAATAAGTAATATGAAGAGAAAAGTCCAGCTTAGCATTTTGTAGTATTGGGATATAAATGCTGAACTAGAGATAATCTAGCATTCTTCTTGAGGAGGATAACATATTCATTAGAAAAAATTGAACGTGATTAAATTAATACTTCTGATGTTTGTTATTTTTTTTCCTAGAAAATTAATAGACGTCTCCACTTGTCAAAAACAAAACATAGCAAATTCAATGAGTCAGGACAACTAGCCTTTTTCTACTTGTTTTCATTTGTATGGGGAGCAAGTATTTTGTCTGCAGTAAGTAAGTCAAGTTATCTTTTTGGAAATTAATTTAAATGAACATTTGCCTAAAATATATCAAATCCTTTAACCTTATATTTTTTTCCTTAGGAAGAATTTACAACAAATCCAACTTTGTTATGGAAGGATTACCCTCATTCTCATATGTTGTAAGCTTTTTTATTTGTTCTTTTATTTGTGCTAGGCGTTTTGCTTGCTTGTTCAAATTAACAAACATATCTAGGTTATTAATTCCCAGGCATCTGAGTATTAGAGATGAAACATGGGCAGATCTATGAACCAATTGTCAAGGAACTATTTTTAAAGCATTTATAATAGGATATGAATGTTTTTAGACAGTGAATTCTACAAAGTGTTAATTAGTATTAGATTCTTTTGGCATGTATATTTATGTATAAAAATGTATGTGTAAGTTTCAACTAGTCTCCTGTACATTGTTCTTCCAATTGCTTGCTGCAAAAGTCTTTACAGTTAGTATCTTATATCTCTTACTATTCTATAACTATTCACATACTTTATCTTATATTATTTTCTTTAAAATCCTTCAATTTAAATGCAGATTCTAGTGATATTCACTGTGTATTTAACTTCTAGTCTTGACCTCCTCCTCTCTACCTGCCCATTCCTTGTCCAAAAAGAATGGATTTTTTTTTCAATGTTAACACTTTCTTGAAAATGTTTGAAATACTTTATTGAGGTTTAAGCTTAGCCATTCCAAACTTGCCTTCCAATCTTAGATTACAGAGGGAAAGTGGGAGTATAAAAACAATTTATGAAGTTGTTTGAACAATTTTGGTTTACCTAAACAATTTAAAATTGGGTTCATGGCTTTTAATTCTTACGATGATTTGAATGGCAATGATAATTATTGAATGCTATGTATACAGCTTTTATATATATACTTTTCTTTTTAGTTTTCAGGTTAAATTCTTCTATATTTGCCAAATTGCCTATTGGCTCCATGCACTTCCAGAACTGTACTTCCAAAAGATTAGAAAGGTATAAATGGTAACTTTAATTCAGGCATTATATTTCTTTTATTTACTTTAATTTATAATAATATAGCATGATACTTTAAATAAGGAAAAGAAATAATAATGGAGAGAAAAGTACTTCCATCAACTTGGTGAGAGAGTCATACTATATAGGAATATATTGTTGGATAGGTAAGATAATGCAATATATTATTTTGGCACTCAGCTTATTTATGCCCTTGTTAATGGTGCTTTTGAAAAGAAAAACTTGATTGAAAAACTTCCTTTCAATAAGAAAGCTATTCATAAGTTATTACAGTGCAAAACCGTACAGAACAAGGAACACTAACACATATTAAAATGTTTGCTTTTATTGTAACATGTTCATCTTTTCCATTCCGTATTTCTAGGAAGATATTCCAAGACAGTTGCACTATATTTGTCTTTATATTGCCCATATATCTGGTGCCTATATCTTGAAGTAAGCATTTATTTATTTATTTGTGTATTTATTTGTGTATTATTTATCATATTTCTAGACTTCCATCAAGGATTTATCTTATAAAATACTGTTCAATATATTACAGGTAGTCCTCAACTTATAACCATAGGCTTAGTGACCATTCAAAGTCACAACAGCACTCAAAACAGTGACTTGAGACTGTTCCTCACACTTATGACTGTCACCGCAACCCACAGTCATGTGATCAAAATTTGGGCACTTGGCAACCAGATTTGCTTAACAACCATGGCAAAAAAGGTTGTAAAATTGTGTGCGATTCACTTAACAACTTACTTAGCAACCAAAATTCTGGTTTCAGTTGCAGTCGTAACTCAAAAACTATTTGTCAATATTCTGTTAAGAAAAAATATTTAGTATATTTGTGTCAGCGTTAATCTATCGGATTTGATCATAGCTTAACAAGCCATAGAATGCTCATCCTGATAGCACAACTAATTCTCTTATATGTAAGATACATTGAACCTAATTCATTGCTGTTGAACATTGTTAATGAATGAATACTATTCAGAATGAAATATTTATTTTTACTGTTTCAGCCTTCAGCGCTTGGGTCTAATTTTGCTGATACCTCATTATCTTGTAGAGCTCATTTTTCACGCTTCACGTCTATTCTACTTCAGTGATGAGAATAAACAGAAAGGGTAATCTTGTTTTTATTTAAATTTTCATGTTACTGTCAGATAATTAATGTAGTTTCCTTTTTTACAGTTTTCTTAGTCCTTGTCAGCCTGTAGGTTATTATTTCTTTTACTATATTTGCAAAAATAAAAAACATTTTAGAATCAGATTACTTGAAAAACTTGTCTTCATTTAAGATTGGTCTTAAAGGTCTTGCTTGTAATATATCACCAAGAAAGATCAAGACTTTTCACAAATAACTAAAATGATCTCTACCTATCATCCACTCTTCATTTTCAGTGGAATTTCTAAAAACATTTCCTCCAAATTTAGTTTCATGCCCTGTTGAATAATTTTGTATCAACTACTTATTTAATCCATTTTATGCAACGGGTGAAAACTAAGCAAGGAGAGAAGCAACCTAGAACTAAGGAGAAACTTCCTGACAGTTATAACAATTAATCAATGGAACAACCTGCCTCCAGAAGCGGTGAATGCTCCAATACTGGAAGTTTTTAAGAAGAGACTAGACAGCCATTTGTCCGAAATGGTATAGGGTTTCCTGCCTGAGCAGGGGGTTGGACAAGATGACCTCCAAGGTCCCTTCCAACTTTACTACTACTACTACTACTACTACTACTACTACTACTACTACTATTGTTATTATTATTATTATTTCACTAATAAGCATTGTTTTGCTAATGTAAGACATTTTCAGTGCCACTGGGGTATTTTTGTTTTTGGGGGAAAAAATTAAAAATTTCAAATTTTGTTCAAAAAGCACTTAGCCTTCCTGAAAATTTCATACAAACATACTGATTTTGCAGACATTCTTCACAGACCTAGATTTCTCACTTGCTAAATACATGTTTGATTATTAAGAGTGCTTTTGTTCAACTAAAATTAAGATTTGAATTTTATTTGTCTTATGCCTTTAAAGTGATTTGCTTTCTTCTTTGGCTTTTATTCTATTGAGGTAGTTACTGTTTTTAAAAGTGATGTTTTCTGTTATCATGCCTGATGTTATGGATATGCTTTTACAATGTATAGTAAAAATATAAGGTTTTTTTTATTGGTCATACCCATGATACAGTTGTGCTCATATTATTTAATGATATAAAGCAACTGATAGCGAAATAATTGTCTTTTTTTTCAGATTTACCCTTTGGGCACTTTTATTTGTAATGGCTCGTCTTTTGACCCTGACTTTGTCAGTTCTCACCTTTGGATTTGGTCTCACAAAAGCAGAAAACTCTGGCTTTTCTGTAGCAGAAGGAAACTTCAATATACTCACAATTAGGTATAAGTTTTTACGGAATAACTTTTTTAGAATATTCTTTACATTCACAGATCCAAAAGTAGAAAATTGTGGCTAGGAAAAATAGTCTTTCTTTATTCTTATTACTATTTAAACTACCATTTATTTTGGAAGATAACATGTAAACCTATCTCAGAAACTTTCAGTCTATTCTTATAATGTTGGTCATATTAAACAATCATAAGAATGCATTACTATATTCTTTGTAACATATGAAACTTCAGCATTTTATGTGCCCTAATAGCAAACGCGGTACGACTGTAAACTTCATAGCTATCTTTATTTTTCCAATACATGCCTTTTTTGAGGAAGGATGCCCTCCAATCATTATAGTTTCCTGACAACAGGCTAAACTAGTAGTTTTCTCGGTAACATTTTCAGAAGTAGTTTGCCATTTCTAAGACTAAGAGAGAGTGGCTGATTCCAAATCATCCAGCTGGCTTTGTGCCTAGGTCAGGATTAAATTTCAAAGCCTCTTATTTCTAGCCTGGTACCTTAACCTCTAGACCAAATTGATTTTCAAATGCATTCAAATATATATATTCATGTTAAAGTTTTATAAATAAAACAATTTAAATAAAATCCAATTTTTATATATCATCTGTTCATATACTTTCTGCCTTGAATGCTTATTGGAAAAGAAATTTTCAGCTATTTGATACAGCACATGCAAATTGGAGCAATATTGATGCAAAATACAGTTTCCAACTGTAATAGCCATGATCTTAAACATATGTCATAGTATCTAGAAATGTATGCTCTTTAAAGACATATGATATGTGCTAGCCTACAATCAGAAAGCATTTGGATTGTATGAGTAACTTTATTTTTTGGATTTATTTATTATTTTGAGATAATCTTTAGAGATTATCTCAAAAACCCTAACACTATTATTCTAACTCTATAACTTTTTATGTTAAACTAATTAGAATTAGCTGTCTGGCCGCAATTTGTTTGACTCAGGCTTGGATGATGTGGAAATTCATCAATTTCCAGTTAAAGAAATGGAGAGAACATGCACAGAATCAAATTCCTAAGAAAAAAACAAACACAAAAATTAAGTCAACAAAAAAAGAGTCCTGCAGATGTAAGTATAGCCCTCATATTTCTACTGGTATCAAAATCACAAATGTACATTACTAGAGTGACAGTTGCTTGTTAAATAACACCACTTTGTTTCCTTTTTAAATATTGGATGGAGAATTGTAGTATAGAATGTTATTATTACCTCTAAATGATCAAAATCTGACATGATTTTTATATAATACAAAGTTAAACATTTATTTACAGATAGTCATTTTTTAACAGTTGGGACTGACAACTCTGCTACTAAGTGATGCAATAGTTATTAAGACGTCATATGGCTTTATGACCTCTCTTTCACCACACCTGTCAAGCCACCTGTAGTTATCCGCGATCATTAAGCAAGACCTAATTGTGAGTCGCAATGTTACTGCTGCCTTCTCAAATTGATTCTGTTAGTTGCAAGATTATTGTAAAGCACACAAATTATGATCATGTGACCATGGAATGCTGCAACACTTGTGAGCACCCACAGGCTACAAAGCGCCCAAATCTTGATCGCGTGACTGGTTACACTGCAAAAATCAAAGGACCATTCACAAAGTTACTTTTTCAACACATTCATAACCTTGAACAGTCACTAAACCAGGCAGTTGTTAAGTGAGGACTACCTGTATTATATTTTTAAGTAACTCTGGGCAGTGTACAATGTTAAAAATATTACTTAAACTACAAGCAGAAAAACACAGGCCAGAAGCCAATACTGCACATGGGAGTGATAACACACTCTAACCCAGTGGTCCTCAACCTGTGGGTCGGGACCCCATTTGGGGTCGAACGACCATTTCACGGGGGTCGCCAAACAAGGCTGTCCGCCATTTTTTCCCCTTTTCTTTGGCCACACCCCTGGCACTCAGTGATGTATAAGTGGTTGGGGGTCACCACAACATGGGGAGCTGTATTATGGGGTCGCGGCATTAGAAAGGTTGAGAACCACTGCTCTAACCTAAGACTTGGGAAAGAGCCATATTTTAAGGGCTTTTTCAGACAGGTTTGAAATAGATCTCTGGGCAAATGTTCCTTCAGAGGGTAGGGACAACAACAGAAAGGCATGATTCCCAGTTCCAATTCATACGATTACTTATTGGATGGGATCTGGAGCATGTCAGTTCTGCCCAATTATACAGGAAAGACATAAAATATGGAAGGTGACATCTTTCTACAAATTTGTATGAAGATTTACTAATTATGTGCAGTTGCATACTGATTCAGAAAAAGTAACCCTTTCAGATTATTCGGGTAGAATTATTGATAGTGCCCCAAAAGGTAATTCCCTCATTAGGTGTATAATTAGCCAGGAAAGGTGTCCTAATTGGCAAACTAGCCCCATCCTCTGAGGTGCTTTCGTTCTGAGAAAACACATTCCTAGGGGTGAACAATGATTAGAAAATTTCTTACTGCTTCTACTACCTCTTCATTATCAACAACTTTCTTCCTTCTACACTAGCCCTTTGGGAAACCATTAGAGAATTGAGGGGAAAATCTTCATCTTATATGGGCTAAATACAGAAAGCGAAGCCAAACAAAAACTTTGGGAGTCAGTATTTCAACCAAGTGGAAATAGGTGCTAAAAGGCCATTGGTCATCCTGGAGGTGGTTACTGGATTAACTAGAAGATCTCACCTCCACTCTATTATATATCCCTCTGCCATCTTAGCTATTTCTCGTTAATTTTAATGTATTTATTGCTTCAGTGTTGTATTGTTTTAATTTTTATACTACAGTTTTATCCAACTGTAAACCACCCAGAGTTGCATGACAGCAAAATTGACAGCAAATAAATTTAATAAATCAATAAAATAAATTAAAAATAAAAAAATGATTAACTCCAGAATTTTTAAATTTTGTTGTTAAAAGTGCTAAAAATAAATTAAGTTGAACACAACACAGTTTTAAAAATATAAAATACAGACAAAATTAATTTACTAATCTTGCCTAACCCCTCATCTAAGACTATCATTGACTCTCTCCGACCCCACCCAACTTTTCCTGCTCCAAAACCTGACAGAACCCCTTCTTTTTCTTTATTGGCCTTTAGGGGTCGGGTGATTATTTCTTGGCCCATGAAGCCATTTTCTGATTTAAATGGTCACTTGTTCCCCATGACATGTCAAGGCAATTCTACAGGTCAAACTATATCATAACCCTTCCAGCTTCTCAAGATGTGAATATTTGTTTAACAGACTCTGCTAAGCAGGTTTGAATTTGAACACAATTCTCTCAATACAGGAATCTGTACAAATATTTTTTATAAATGTTTTCAGCTAACTATAAGAATCACTTATAAGAAATGGAAATTACACAGAACTATTCAGGACACTTACAGGACTTAAAGTACAAGTTTTGGAATGATGTTTGTGGTCCTCAGATGATTTCTGAGCTAAAAAAGTTCTGTAAGGGAGAGTGGGGAAGTGCATTCAAAACCCAGAATAAAAAGATTTGGAAACTATCATTTCTACCAAAAGAATTATTATAAACTGTTGATTGAAAAGATATGCAAATTTCTGTACCTGCCCCCCCCTTTTTAATTTGAATCTGCAATAACAGCACATAAAAGATGTAAAAAGATGTTATTTTTAACTTTGTACCATGTAGAGGTTGTGTCAGGTTCCATTCAATCACAGATTAAAACTATTTGTCCAGGGATGCCTAAGTTTTTGCATACAACTATTTGCTAATCCACCAATATGGGCATAAAGGAGTGATGGCTAACCCACAGTCTTCCCAGTCTTTTGTACTTGCTTTTTTGCGAGATTTAGGAGTAAAATGTGTACCTTAAATTTGTGCAAGCTTTAAGGCCTTATTTTGTCATTACAAAACAATCTAGTTCTGCACATGATCTCCTCCATTTCCATTGATTACGTTTTTTGTTGCCTCAGGTAAGAAAAATGTGTAGCTCTGATCTTGTTAATCATTGCCCACACTTTATCCATTGTTACATAAAAAGATTGTGTAGAGTAGGTTATAGAAGCAAAATGAAATAGAAGCCATTCTCTCTATGAAAAACATTATTTAATATAATCCATAAAAAGTATTAGCATTCCTAACTTAAATATGTTGTATGTGTTAAATATCTTCAATTTGCCAACTTATACTTCTGAAATAAAAGCATTGTTTATTACATGTATAGCTATTAATACCACCTATCCCAATCCTAATATTCTGTTTATCTTTTTTTTGTGTTATAGCTAACTTCGTAAATGGAACAATAAAATCTGAAGAGGGCATATCACCTAGGAAAAGAAGATCAAAATTTTTGTGAAGAGCACAGATATAGAGGACACTGATTTAATTGAAGACTTTCTCACCTTAAATAGAAAATCTACATCACACTGACCATAGAACAACTCTATTTGGCTATTTGGGCTAAAGAACATTGGTTAAAATAATATATTTTTAAGTGTATGTTCATCAAAACAAACTTACAATGACAATATTATTTTAAAATCATTTATTTAACACAATCATCTTGAAAATAGGATATTTTATTATAGCCTGACCTCTAATTACAATGCTGTAATATTAATAGAACAGCATGGGGGAATCTAATAAATCACAGTTGTCTTTTATTTGGAACTTTATTTCATTGTATAAAATGTAATTTTAGAATTAAAGTTAGATTTATTTTGCAATTTTTTTCTAAAATTTCTATTATTAAAGTGCTTGAAATTCCTTTTTAGGCTAGAGGACAAATTATTATTTTTTATTACCTCTCCATTTGGTTAAATGAGTTGTCATTAGAACATCAGTTAATACTATAATTTTAGAAAATGTCAGTTTAGCATATCCAACAATGTGCTTTCAAACAATTCCCATCATGTAATAATTTAATGCTTAATTTTGAAGAATGGAATCCTTTTTAATTCCAAAAAGCTGGTTTTATATTAATGGATTCTGAAGTATTTGTAAAAAAAAAAAATATTTGAAACTACATGCTTCTTCAATATGGTGCTAAAAAGTGCTAGTTTATTTAGAGATCCATGAAACTGTTATATAATTAATATTTAATTTGCAGAACTTAAAACATTTTGAAATTATTTTCCTAGTGTGAAAAAATGTCAGGTTGTAACATTAAATACTAAAAAGACATTCATAAATTCTGCATTTTTGTCAGAAAACAATATTAAAAATACCAGGCCCTGCAATATAATTTTGCCATTTAGTCTGATCCTCCATCATACCAAAAGCTTTTTATTACCAAATAATAGCTTTCCTTGGATGCTTATTGTAATAGCAGAAATGCACATATTTACTAAGAAACAGGACATTTTTGATTGTGCCAAAATCTCCTGTTATAATTCTTTCAAAAGGGTAGGACAACTGGTGCCTTCTAGAATTAACCATACTAGTTAGAGGTGACAGAAGTTAAAGTCCAGAACATCTGAAGCAAAACAGGTTTTCTTCCTTCTTTTGGAAAAATGGTTTTGTACTTGAGACAATTGATTGGAATTCAAAACTACAGGAAATGGCTTTTATTACCCTTGTAGACTTTGCAACCTGGCATGGAAAACATTCAAAGTGGATTTTTTAAATACCTGTATGTCATGCCATATGATTTACTGGACCTACTGTTAGAAGTTCTACTGGATTCATAGAATTGAGTTCATGATTCTTTATATTATAAATATAGACTTCTAGATTTAAAACAGTCGTACTATTTTCAAATTTCTATTTAAGGATTTTCTCTTCTGCTTTCTCAGGTTATCTGTTCAAAACTGGAGTAGTCTTTGTTTAGTTAAAGTGGATTAGTTTGCAGTTATGAAACTAGAATTCAAACTCCATGGCTACTTTATAATTCACAATGAAACAATTAGAATCTTGTCTGTTTGTAAGTCTTGTAGCACCAGCCGCTAATCAAAGAATAAAGGCCATATCCTTGTTTGAATTTCTAAAAGCTCTGATAATTGCTTAAACCTAAATGAATTCTACAAGTGTCTATTATCAATCTGGCATTATCCCTATGAGCTCAGACTCTAGTTCCCACAATTTCTATCAACTTTATTTATTATTATTATTATGGTAGCTGGGATATTTTGAGTTATAGTTCCAAAACATCTAAGGGGTGCCTTTTGGGGAAAGGCTGCTGTAAAGACTATAGAGAAGTCTTCACCAATAGAATCTTTGGGAGTCTCTCAATATCTCTAACAACTGGGAATGTTAGGAAATATAGTCTTAAATATTTGTAGGTCATTGGATCAGAGAAGGCTGATATAGCAGTTCAGTCTATATATTACTAAAATTATATTTGCTGTATATCTTGTAAGTCTGATGCTTATCTTGGCAGGCATTGCCATAATGTAAGAAAATTCTACTTAATTAAATTAGGAATAAGAAGTAAAATGAAAGATGTTGGGGGCTGCAATTCAAAAATATGACTTGCATATTTCCAGCTCATGCTATATGTATAGTAGTTTTCCCTTTCCTAGCACTTTCAAATTTTTGGATTGCTAATTAAAGCCAGCATGGCTACGTTGCCATAGAGAAAATGAATTGCCTTAACATTGCAATCTGGGATATTCTAGGCATCAGATTTTGGGTTTTTTTTTAGATAACTATAGGTACCATAAACATTTCACATTATAATATTAATAGATTCATCACTGGGAGCACAAATAGTAGAAGTGCCAAAGATGTCTGTTTTATATGGACACAGACTGACTGACTGTTACATTTCCCATTCTAAATACCTTAATTATAACTAGCTATTGTTTTTTATGATTTGCCATACTTTTTAATAATGTTTGACACTTAAAGTACTAATAAGAAAGAGTTAAAAATGATTCTCTAGTTCTGACAAAAATGTTTGTGATTGATTTAGAAGTCAAGATAGCTGCCTCACAGTCCATTGTGAAATTACCTCGCCTTGCCTCTTGACCATGTTCCTGTGACAAACAAGTGGCTTACATTTTTTTAAAATTTATCAGTAGCATTCAATAAATTTAATCACATATATTTAGATGTTACTATATAGATGAAATCATTCTTTTATTATGTGAAATGGGGGATTTGTATTACTTAAACATTTTAGGTCAAAATACTATTCTAGATTTGATTCTTTTCTTCATTTGTCATCTGTGTATCAATTTGTTTTAAGATTTTTATCTGCTGACCTCATAATACCCATTTTGCTATAGAATGAGCATTTTAATGATTTTGATAGAAATTTATATAATCATTTCATTTGATAGAACCTTAATCTTCTGAGCCGTTTTGCTTAAAAAAAAACCCCTTCTGATTAATTTTCACTGTACTTCTTGTAAGATGTTGCTTTCTCTAGTCACATGTCTGTGCTTCTGGACTTGTTACAAATAGGACAACTGGTTATATCTTCATCCTAATCATGAACACTTGTGTTCATGTAAAGTGATTTATTTTACTAATTTCAAATAAAAGAAAATGGAAAACTCCTTTGCCTCTCAAAACAGAATACTATAAGATTTATCAGTAATAAAAGCTTTTAGGAAATAGATGTGGCCTTTTAACTCATGGAGTCAATTTGTTCTGCAGGCTAGAATTACATCCTTATAGAAGATCATAGTTCAACTATTGTATTGCTATGAAAATTAACTATTTAACTTAGCCTACCATTTCTTCTATCCCTGTACACTTCAGAAATTTAATTTCCTTTTTTAAATTCTAGAAAATTAAACTAAAATAGTTTAAAATGTATGTTACCTACAATATCCTTGAAATGCAAACATTTTGTGTGTGTGTGTGCGCGCGTGTGTGTACACCTTGTTTCTTTGAGTAGAAAAATTTGCAGCATGGGAGGAATATAAATGGAATATCATACTGTCCTGTGTCATTGCACTTGATTGCACAGATGAATGTTTTATGTACTATCAAATGTTAAATAAAAGGTGGGCCTGTGCCTTAAGCTTGTTTTGTTATGTTCTAAACAATATTTGCAAATACTGGAGTATAAAAAATGATTCATAGAAGTTTGCTATTTCTAACAGACAAGATTGTAATTTAAAATCAGTTGATAGGATAAAAGGGGAGAGTTAATTGTATATACTGTATATAGGAGCTGAAACTCTTAAAGAAGCAAGACTTGAAGTTTAAAGTTTAATATCAGGGTTTGCCTACCTTTTCATGTCACAGTAACCTCTGTGCCTTTACTACAAGCATTTGTAGCCAAGATCTAATGCAGTTCTCTACATTTTTTCCCATTATAAGTGCTATTCATCAGAATATTCCAAAATCTCAGATCTCAAGGCACAAGTTGTAACAAAATTATTGTAAGCTAAACACACTGCTTGGATTCTATGGAAGGAAAATATATTGAAATTACATTCAGGATTGGAGTTCTGGTGACAGAACAGTGGTTAGAATGCAGTATTGCAGGCTAACTTTGCCCGCAGTCAGGAGTTTGATCCTGATGGGCTCAAGACTGACTCAGCCTTCCATCCATCTGAGGTTAGTAAAATGAGAACCCAGATTGTTGGGGGCAACATGCTGACATTTGTAAACTGCTCAGAGAATCATGTAAATCACTGGAGTGGTATATAAGTCTAAGCGCTATTGCTATTAATAAGGTTATAAACTTATATAGTATAAGGCTAGCTAGGTATATAGGCTAGCTAGGTATATAGGCTAGCATTTATATAGAAGCCTCTTTAAATTGCATCTAAAAATATTAGTTGAAGTGTGGAGCTTGCTGTGCACCAAATGATAAGTAGCATACTGAAATCACACGAGAACTCAATTTCTACAATGTCTAAAAGTTTTATCTTAAAATCTAGCAAATTTATTTTTTCTATGATTTTTTATTTGTAGATATATTTTCCAATGTGATCTTTAATATGATTACTCAGAAATCAAGCTCTATGGTCTTTACTTGGACAGAAAAAAAAAAACAATCTACAACCAACAGCGAATGCATAGTCAACATTTAAACTGCCTGAATATTTTACATTCATGCAGGCTAAATATCTGTTCAATCAAATAGCTTTCGGAACAGTATATATTTTAAAAACAGATATAATTTAAAAACAAAATATATTAGCAATTCCAATCCAAACTCATAGGCATTTCTGATGTTCATGTCTTGCTTGAATGGCTATCTATGCTCCCTTAGTCATGGAGAAATAAGATTCATTCCCAACATAAATAAGCTCTCTTGTTAATAGCACAGTTATCCTCCTTTAACCATTGTAATTACTGACCATATAATAATTAAGAGTATTGTTAGAAATGTTAATGGTGTGTTACTTTTTATAATCTCTTATAATTTATGGGTAAAGCTGCCTATACTTATAGCATCAGTTTATGCTTAAATGCATACTGCTTTTTTTAAAAAACATCCAGGGGAAAAAGCCGTATTGTTTTAGCATATTTTCTTGATGCATTTTTAGGGAGTGAAGTTATTTAATTGTAAAGCATTGCAACTAGTGTGAAATGATAAAGCTGTCATTTACTTGGTGATGTGCCCAGAAGATGACCTTTCCCTGTAGAACAAAATGTTTTGTGTTCCATAATTGTTTGTTCGAATATTATGTTCATTGTGGTTTATTTTGGTAACATTTAAATCACAAATTCCTATGCTTTGAATCATATAAATTCACAAAACTAACTGCATTTAGAAAAGTAAATTAACATTTTAGATGAATTTATGAACTGAATTTTTGAAGAGGGTTTAAACAGGCTTGGAGACATGCCTTGTCATTTTCATGAGAAACCAAGTCATTGGTGGACTTCTTCCAAGAGTTTACCCCATGAAACATGCTTACCAAGATTGGCCCCCTGACAAATGTTGAACTGTCTGCATGAGGGTTCTTAGATCTATACTAAGTATATCACCAATCTAGCTTTTTTTTTAACATTACTGCTTCATTTTTACAGAACATGAAAGGTAAATAAAAGACAGTCTCAAACAAAATCCTCTATTTCTAATATCATAGGAAAGCAGTCTTCAGCCAATACATTATGACCTTACCTCTTCAGTCTGAGTACTGTGTTAGGGCAGTAAGGTGGATCTTAAAAGTTTTGTTTGTATGCGTTTCAGTATGCTTTCCTTTATATAAAGTTCTACCTGGGGTCTGAATAGACTCTGAGCAAGGGTTTTAGTTTCAAACAATTTTAATGCTGAAATGTTAATTCCATTCCTTTAATGTAAAAACCTCTTAAAAACTGATAATTTTGAAGCTGCTAGAGTTATGTATTCCTGGGAGCCTTTCCAAATCTTCTGTACATAAAAGTGTATTCTACCAAATATGTGAAGGTACACACCTGTTCATTTTTATTTTATTTATTATCCATCTGTATTGCTGTGGCTGTCTTGTGAATACAAAAAAAAATAGATTTTTTGTAATTTACATTCAGCTTATTTCTTTTTTCCTGTATGGCCCTTCTAAGTCTAATGGGAGTATGCAAGATGATTGCTGCATCATCCAAATAGAGAAAAGGGGATTCTGTGCCAGAAATGTTAGAAACATGGAAGTCAGGATGATTTAAGCCATTGTCATGAAGCTAATATAAAAATTAAACAGCCTCTCTCTCTCTCTATGCTTATGAGTCTGAATAGCTACCCAGGCAAGTCACACCTCACTTTAAGGTATCCAAATAGAGAACAAAGATATTTGTCAATATTTGTATTCTGAAACCCTTCCCACAGGATTATCCATGAAATGGAATTAATCCAGCCTTAAAGACAAAGGTTATGCACAAGAGAGACTTTAATTTGTACAAGTGCTTATGTATAACATGGTACAATACAAAAATGTGGAGCACTTTTAGAATCCAGCTTGTTCTTGTTCAGATCTTATGCAGTCTTAAAACTTCTAATTTATATTCTTAGTTTATAGTTTACCTAGTACACTCAGTAAACTGCTGGGTCTATAGTTAGTTGGATCTTCACTGTTCCCTTTCTTGTATATTGAGATTGTATATGGCCAGCCTCCTTGTCCCTGGGGATATGTCATGTCTAATCAATGTAGGTAAAAAGAGATGAACAATGGATTTAAAATAATTTAGCTAGGATATAGGCAGTGCAAATATAAATAAACTTGATAGTTATTTAGCTTCTCTGGATCCAGAGATAACTTCTTCAGAAGAAGGTATCCAGAACATATTTCAAGGCAGTCAGAAACTCACCTTCCATAACGATGCACATTGGAACTACTTTATTGGCAATATTCTGTACAGTGCCCCAGTAAAGGGCCATATTTTTTATTTTATTTATTTATTAAATTTCTATGCCACCTGTCACCCCTACTATGTTATTCTAGGCAGCTTACAAATTATAGAAACAAGTAAAAATATTTAAAAGATTAAAATTATTCAACATTAAAACTGCTAAAAACAGGAGCCAAGACAGAGATGGGGCAGAGATGAGATCTTCTTACCTTTTATCAGTCACATCCAGTTATGTATGCCCCACTCCGGGCCCTATATCTTGTTTTAACTCTAACAAAACCCAGTAGATGCCGAGTAGCACAATTCAGACAGTTATATTCAACCTGGATCAATAATCCATTTATTTCCCTCAGGTGCTGATAGAAATAAATTTCAGATCTAGCAGTATTTATGCAATTTACTAACTCAATAGCTGTCATTAATGTTCACCTGGCTCAGGTGAATTAAGTTATAAATGTTACATGCAATAGATAGTAACAAATATCTCACCGTTTTTTATTGCTGACTTTGTTTTTGACCTCTTATCTCAAAAGCAGTGAACAGTTATAATTATTTCATTTGGACTCACAATTCTGTCATATGATATAATTACTCTTAAAAAGACAGATCTCATCATCTCAGCCAACAACTGAGAACATTAATGAGTATTTGGATTATTAAAAATTATGTAAACTAATTTTTGATAGTGTGGAAAGGTTAACTTTCCTTGCTTATGAAGAAAAATATTTTTATGTAATCACAGTCAGTTCTTTCTCCTTAAAAGTGTTTGAGAAACACATATGTTAAAAGCCTTGAGTCTAAATCCTTAGATTCAAGCAAACTGATTAGTCTGTTGCTGTGGTACTCCAGGAAACTGGTATAACTCTTAATGGTGTCTTTTAGATAATTAAATTCTGACTTTAAAAAAATGTAAAAGTTAAGATCATCACATAAAAGAAAGCTATGAAGTATATAAAAAGGGACAGATATAGCACATAGGATTCAATTTATCATCCTACTTATGTGATAGTAGTGATAAAATATATACTTATACGGGGACCCACTAGAATACTGGTTTATAGATGGAAAGCCATATCTAAAGTCCTTGTGGGTTTTTTTAACAATCAGTGCAGGTTGTTTAAATGAGAAAGGGCTCAATTTGGTCTGGAGCATTCATGCTAGGGAGAGTTTATACAGGAAGTCCTCGACTTACAATAGTTCATTTAATGACCGTTCAAAGTTACAATGACACTGAAAAAAGTGACTTATGACCGTTTTTCACAGTTAAGACCTTTGCAGCATCCTCACGATCCTCATGTGGTCAAAATTCAGATGCTTGACAACTGGTTCATATTTATGACTGTTACTATGTCCCAAGGTCATGTGATCACCTTTTGCGACTTTCTGACAAGCAAAGTCAACAGGGAAGCCAGATTCACTTAACAAATGGCTTGCTAACTTATCAATTGCAGTGATTCACTTAACAACTGAGGCAAGAAAAGTCATAAAATAGGGCAAAACTCACTTAACAAATATCTTACTTAACAACAGAAATTTTGGGCACAATTGTGGTCGTGAGTCGAGGATAACCTGTACTGTACAATTCTCTTGTGATTCAAATTTCACCTGCAGAGGAAAAAATGGTTAATTGTTACCTTTATGTAAGTGATCAATGTAGCGCCTACGACATTTCTATTATCCCATCGCTACTGCTCATTATTTTAGTTATGTTATACGATTGTTTCCTAAATGAGAAGCTGG